TATATATTTTATATTTTTTTACTTCCCGCTATGTAATATTGCATGTTACTTATCGTTATTTTATGTAAACTACTATTGCACACATATGTGGACTCTCTAGCTTCAGTGAGATTTAGGCATTTATTTTTTCTTGTTTTCGTACATGCCATTGCTTATCCATGCGCCTTACCTTCGTCATGGCCTGCACTGCAGGGGTACTTTCCGTTGGACTCTGTCGTCGTATTTTCCCAGTTTATCACTGTTCTGAACTTTTTATTTGTTTTCGTTATTTTCATAATCTGTTCCAAACTCCATAAAATCGAAAGTCGGAAGCATTATGCCGGGATAGCGACATAACGCGGGGACCCATATTCCCCGCGTTATGTCGCTATCCCCGCGCTCTTCGAGTTTGCCTGAGCCACAACAAGCACTTCCACTACTTACATTTTAGTCTCCACATACATTCCACCTGCTCTTAGTCCTCGCGGACTTACAGGTTCTACTCTCACTTGGGACTCACGTTATTATTGATGGAGACTTAAACGCTAGACACCGTGCTTGAAACTGCTACAATTCAAATGACATAGTGTAATTTTCAACTTAGCCAACTCGGCAAATTTACGAATAGCAGCTCCAAAAACCCGAACACGGTATACTGCCCGTTCATCAGGATTCATTGACTTCTTCCTGCTGAGAAACACCAGCGATCCGCTGGATGAACTCTCATCTGACCATAACCCGGTCAGAATGATTCTGGACATTCGCAGCTATACCTTACCAGACACCACAGCCTCTACTATTAACTGGCGAAAGTATGCCAAAGCTCTCAACAACATTCAGTACACCATACGAGGGATGATATTGATAGCTTTATTCAGACTTTCACAACATCTATTATTAGAGCCCATGCCATTGCTCAGAAGGAGGTGTAACAAGACATATCTTCCGAAACAAGGAGCTAAAGAAGCTGATCACCCAGCAGAACGCAGCAAGAAGACAGTTTCAACGTATCCGTAACCGGGAAGATAAACAATCGTTCAACCGTCTCTCAAATGCTGCCAAGTCTCTATTAGACATCCAGGCACAACAAAGCTGGACTGTGGAAAGCCATTAAAAAGTACACAAAATGCTACAATAAAATTCCGCCCTTTAAAGGCCCTCAAAGGACCCATTACAGAGAAATTGAGAAAGCAGAACTCTTAGCTCAGCATTTGCAAACTGAATTTCGCACAAACAACATTCGTGACACTACAACAGAAAACCTTGTTCACCAGTTTCACTTCACCTTCTCAACAAATCCATGCACAGACATCATTCCAGCCTTACCGTCAGAGGTCTGTGCCACCCTCAAAAGACTCAAGAAAAGGAAAATCCCGGTATGGATGCCATTACAAATAGCATGATCAAGAAATTCCCTGTCAAGACCATCTTCATGCTAACTAAAATCTGCAATATTATCCTCACCTGGCAGTACTTTCCTCGGCAGTGGAAAATAGCTAAGATTATACCTATCCTCAAGCTTGGCAAACCTGCGTCGGAACCTGTATCTTATAGACCAATAAGCCTATTATCTTCAGTAAGCAAAATATGTGAAGCTATTATACTCAAAATTATTAACGAATTTGTAGACTCCAACAATGTTATTATTCCGCATCAGTTCGGACTCAGACGACATCTCTCCACAACCAACCAACTGTACCGAGTGGTAGAAACCATTGCAGAGGGAACCGGAAAGTGACCGGAAAGTGACTGGTGGTTTGTTCCTCCACATTGCCAAAGCTTTTGATCGAGTTTGGCTGGATGGCCTCACTTACAAATTACACATCCTGGGCTTCCCGGGCTACATCATAAACATTATTAATTCCTACCTAACAGGTAGACACTTTGTTGTTCACGTCTCTGGCACAAATTCCACAAGCCATGTGATCTTGGCTGCCGTCCCGCAAGGATGTTTGCTCGGACTTACACGTTTTAATATTTACGTGAACGACATATCTTCCGCGCACGACACAGCATGCAGACGACACAGCGGTCCTCGCACAAAGTACATTTCCAGGTCCAGTTATACAACGACTACAAAATTACATACACACGCTAGAGACTTGGCTGTTCAAGTGGAAGATCCTCGTCAACATGGAAAAAAACAGCTGTTATGTTTGAAAGAAGACCAACTTCAAGAAAAACCTGAAGTTCTATGGCACTGGTATTCCCTGGACCAAGCAAGTCCCTTATCTTGGGGTGATCCTCAATAAGTCACTTACATGGTCCCCGCATATTACATCTATTATCCAGAAATTTCGAGTTCGTAAAGCCAAACTATACCCCTTAATTGCTATATTGAAACAGTATATTATCTATTGACAACAAGTTACTCATTTACAAGTCCATTCTACGTCCACTTTTGTGTTATGCAAGTCCAGTTTGGGCATATACCAAGAAAACTCATAGGAAAAGATTGCAAGTCTGCCAGAATACTGTTCTACGACAAATTGTAAATGCTAAATGGTATGTAAGGAATAATAGAATACATGAAGAGTTAGGCATTGAGTTACTGCGCACTCATTATTATAACTTAGCCAAAAAATTTCATGAAAGGCAGCAAAATATTGATAATTCCCAGTATTAAAATCTGTGATTACGACTATATCAGTTTGGAAAATATGGATAGGCCTATGGCCCAACTAAATGTATGGATCATGTAATATGCAACTCTAATAATTTGACATATGTGTTTATTTATGTATTTTTTTCATTCCTCTTATCTGCTACACTTCAAATTTTCTGTCTGCATTCTCTCTTTTGCGTATGTTATAGATATATGAATATAATTATTCCAAGTTCATGTCTTAATATTTGATGTTGTTCGAGAATAAACATACTCATGAAACACAAACACCAAGATTTAATGGACTGTAGCTTTATTTCTTTTAACTTCTGTTTGAATAGACACTCTTGCCATCGCATAGGTGCACCTCCCAGCACGCAATCAAACACACTAAAGGCCGCTAGCTGCACGTTGTCGTTTTCTCTCATCGTGGTTGCCAGATCACTTCTGCCTTAACATACCGCCCGGGTTGGGCATTTGTTACATAGTTAACATGACCAAAATTAAACAATTTTAAATCACCATATAGTCCAAATCATATATCACAAAAATTTAAATTGATGCACATGAACAAAAGCAATAAACATAATTAACCACAGAACATAAAATGCACAAACTTAAATTAAAAACAATGCCATATATATAACAAGTTTTTGAACTCAGGAAATATACATGAAATTATGTCAATTACTGGTATAGTACAGCTAATTTAGTTATTGGTCTTTTTAAAAACCTGACTTGGTTTTACAATACAAACTCTAACCTTTTTATCCTTACCATAAATTACTCTCTTTATTTTACCCAATAACCAAGTCGAAGTGGGCATGTTGTCTTCCTTTACTAAAATTATAGTGTCCTTTTTAACGTTATCCTTAGGGAAATACCACTTAAATCGTTGCTGTAAATGATGATGTAATCATTTTGCCATCTTTTCCACAATATTGCGTTACTTTAGTAGTGCGCGCCAGCGCTTTAAAGAACTATCAGAAAAATCCGTTGTTAAATCAGGCTATGTTATTGATGTTAAAGGTCGCCGATAGAAAGTGTGGGGGTGTAAGAGCTTCTAAATATTGTGTCATTTGACAAAAGGGGATATTGGACGTGAATTTAAAATTCCTTCAATCTGGTTCAAATTGTAAGAAACTCCTCAAATGTAAAAAAAAAATCAATCTCCCAACTGCACGCTTAAGATAAAACTTAAACGACTTAACACCTGCCTCCCAGATACCTCCAAAGTGAGGAGCCCTGGGAGGGATAAACTTCCAATGAATTCTTTCTTCAATGAATTCAGATGTCAGATATTTGGTTAAGAATTCATCAGTGTATTTCAACAAATTGTAGAGTTGCTTCAATTCGTTGCTAGCCCCAACAAAATTTCGAGCGTTATCGCTAAATAGGTGCGCATTTACCCTTCTAGAAATAAATCGCTTCAAAGCAGCAATAAATGATTCTGTAGACAAATTTGAAACGATCTCGAGGTGGACTGCACGAGTCAAGAGGCAAACAAAAATTGCAACATAAATCTGTGCACTACGTTCTTCTTTTGAGTTGTATACTTTATACCAAAAGGACCACAAAAGTCAACACCAGTATGGGTTAAAGGGGAAAGGATGGATTCAGTCTCTCTAATGGTAAATTTCCCATCTTTTGATCCAGCAATACTGGTTTTACTTTGGCACAGAACAACATTCTCTTACCATTTTTCTAGCAAGATTACGCCCACTTATCGGCCAAAATTTTTGTCTAACACTATGCAAGAGTGCTTGTGCTCCAGTACGAAAGTTTCGAATATGGATAGTGTAACATAATTAAATGAGTCAGTTTATGATTTTTTGGCAGGACAGCAGGGTGCATTGTGTTAAAGGAGCAAGTTAGCTTCCTGCAGTCTACCACCTACTCTAATAACTTAAAGATTCATCTAAAAAGGAGACATAAAAATTTTAACTGACTATTTTACATACTTCCCTTTCTCTTACTTCAAGTTCTTGAATTCTTCAGGAAAGCTTTGACATTGGACTAAGGAAAGTAATTTATTTTCGCTTAACGAAACCTCATCTACTGTCAGATGATCTACTTGTTTTCCTTGGAATCTACAATTTCTTATAAATCTTAAAACATAAGCAAAAACATTAATTAATTTAGCATAACAATTAGTAATACTAAAAACATAATCCAAAAGAGAATTTTTTTAACAGTTTCTGTCAAATTTACATTAGAAATAAGTTTCAGTTCGCGCACATAGTTTCATTTGAATTTTCAAAGTTATTATTAACACACTATAATTAATGACCTGTTGATGCAGAAAATTTGGTCCTTGAAACCACAAAGAGTTGTCAGCAATAATTCCGGTCTCAGACCGCGAGGAAATTAGGTCAGCGGGATTGTCTGCTGTTCTGACATGTTGCCAGCAGAAATCCTAGTTAGCGCTCTGGATACGAGCTACTCTATTTGACACAAACACTATTAGAAGATGAGGAGATGTAGCAATCCAGGCTAACACAATTGTTGAATCTGTGTACAGAATAACTTTGTCATCATATAAACTCAAAGATGTTATTACCTTACACACACGTTTGGAAAGGAACTCTGCTGCACACAACTCCAGACGAGGAATGGTTATTACCTTGATAGGCGATACTCGAGATTTGCTGCAAAGTAAAGTTACTTTAACTTCGCCAATTTTAGAGACACAGCGCAAGTAAGTTACTCCACCATATCCAAACATTGAAGCATCAGCAAAACAGTGGAGCTCAATTTCTTTAATTGATTCTATTAGAGTGCAACGAGGGACTTTGATTTGTTTCAACTCTGGTAAGGCGTTTTGAAATGTCTCCCATTCTTGTCGCTCTTTGAAAGGAAGTGGATCATCCCACTCTAGATGTAAAAGCCCACAGCCTTTGCAGAGGAATATCTTAGCACGCATGATTACAGGCCCTAGGAAACCTAAAGGATCAAACAGTTTAGCAATATCTGCCAAAAACCGTGCGTTTTGTACAGATTTTTTTTTGACGAACTAGACACAGTAAAAACTAAAAGAGTCTTCTTCTGGTTCCATCTTAAACCCAGAGTCTACGGTGCTTTGTGAAGATTCTCCAAAACGATTACTCTTGTTTTTCGAATGGAACTTGTTCTAAAAGAATTTTTTCGTTTGAGCACCACTTGTGCAATTCCTTTTCGCAGATTGTAGCATGTCTATTAACTGCCGCTGCAATTCTACAGCGGAGGTGACATCTTCTGCACCAGACAAAATGTCATCAACATAAAAATCGTTGAGTGTCGTTTTAGAAGCCAATGGATACTTATCCTTTTCATCTAAGGCTAACTGCTTCAACACTCTTGTTGCTAAAAAAGGCGCTGATTTTGTTCCATATGTTACCGTAAGTAATTGATAAAGTTTAGATGCATCATTCAACGTATGTTTCCAAAGGATGCATTGAAGTTTGCGTTGCTCAGGATCTATACGAATCTGCCGATACATTTTGCATATATCAGCAGTGAAAGCCACCATGTGTTTTCTAAATCGTAGCAAGATAGAAAATAGGTCATCTTGAACTACACCTCCATTCATCAAACAGTCGGTTAATGAAAAACCAGACGATGAAGGAGCCGATGCGTCGAATACCACTCGTAACTTAGTTGTACTGCTGTCTGCCTTATAAACACCATGATGAGGCATTATGTATTTAGGAGTTTCCGTCACACTCCGCATTTTTGCATATGCCCTAACGTTCATATTCACTCATGAACTCACAATACATCCTAGACATATCAGGGATTTTGTCTAGTCTCTTCCAACCGTTGGGTGGCTAATTGCGAAGAATCACCCAAATGAACATCTTGCCTTAATGGTAGCGTCACTACATATCTATCCTCAATATCCCTCTGATGGGTTTTTCTAAAATGCTTCTCACATTCTACTTCTTCTTTATTTTTTATTTTGAGAGATTCTGTAACAGCCTCAATTCCCAAAAGGACTTGATAGTGAATTTAAGTCTTCTTCGACTTTCATAAATCCGCACTGAATCGTATGCCTGAATTTGAACCAACATTTACACCGGTAGCAATGTATCCAAATACGGAATTTTGAAGAGTTAAATTAGAATTTCGTGGATGAATTTGATCAGCCTTCAGTAGTTCATAAAAGCATTCTGCACTAACAAGGCATCTATTTTTGGGGCTTGTTAAAATGAAAATACGCTAGTTTGATCTTTGCGGAAGCTGTGAAAATGAAAAAATTTAAAATATTCATGGTACTAAATCATTAATTTAGGTACAACAAGAATTCAAGAGCTCTGTGGTAATCACGCTTTTGATATCACAGCAGTAAGCTTGGATTTTACCGATAGAGTTTTCCATTTAAACATGAAATTGATATGTTAATTTTACTCCTTTCATTCCAAGCCTATTAGCGAAATCATAGGTGAACACGAACACTGACTTCCGCAGTCAAGTAAAGCTCGACAAGCAATAAAATTCCCGCAAAAATCTTTAACATAAATAGTAGCAGTAGATAGTAATACCTCCTTCGAAATCACTTGTGAAGCAGTTACAGACGAAACAATAAATTCCGAATTGTTTATTTGATTGCAGATTAGATAATATTTCAAAACATCTGGTGTCAGGCATTCAGCTCTCGAGTTGTCTACTGAAGGGGGGTCAGAATTATTAGCCGGTGCTTCCTCCCTCCCTACACAACTCGCTATAGTAGCAGGTGAATGCGAAATGTCTTGATTGGGAAAATGCAGTAAACTATGGTGTTTTTCATGCATTTGAACAGCTGAATTCTGAACGACAGTTCTTTGAGTATGACCCAAGCAATTAAAGCATAATTTATGTTTCTTAACAAATTCAAGACGTTCACTTACAGTCATTTTCAAGAAAGATTATACAACTTGTGAAAATTGATACTTTTACAACAAATACATTTAAAATCTTGACCTTTAACATTGACACTAAGGCAGTCCACTTTTGAATAGGTTGACCCTTTTTGCATATTAAACACATTAGGTGACTTGACGACTGCAAAGTTCTAGCATGATTTTTTAGAAATGTAATAAGCTCAGATAATTTAGGTAACTCACTTGTTTTTGAATCTCTTTCTCACCAAAGACGAGTGGAACATCCAATTTTGCAGCAAAATATAGCCAAGAAATTTCTGCGAATCCCTCTATTTTTGGTCTAATATTCCAAAGACCTTACACTTTCATTCACTGTGTCTACTAATTTTAAAATAGAAGACGGGCTTTCATTTGTATGGGAGAAATTGACATGAATCGCTTTATCTGGGCGAAAACCTGATCACGTTATTGGAGTATCTCTCTTCTAAAAAATCCCAAGCAATTTATAGTTATTGTCACAAATTTGTGACTGATTGAATTAATTCTAGCTGCTTCGCCATGAAGCGATAACTTCAAATACGAGAGCTTTGGGAATCCGATAATACATTATTATTATGAATGTTGAAATGAAAAGATCCGAAAGCTTAACCAATCTTGAATATTTCCACTAAAAGACGGCAAGTTTAATTTAGGTAATTTCATACCTTGTGCACTGGTTATTTCAATCTTTACTTACTTGCATCTTTAGCACTAAATTTTGACATTTGCCGTTTAACCTTAACCCACAAAGTATCAATGCTGTCTTGAACGGTTGATGTCAGTTACATATTTGTCAAACTTTTTATCTACTACTACAAATAATTTATCAAAAATCTCTGAACATTCATTATTAAAATTTGCACATTTATTTTCAAAAAGTTGTAACTGAAATTCATCACAAGTATATTTTTCGAAATCTGATGTCGATTTCGTTATATTTGACTTTAAAATTCTTTTCTTAATTAAAATTGCTTCCATAATTAACGTTAATAATACCGAACATATATGAGCAAATTCACTTACTTCCGTTGAGGTAATCCAAATGAACCCGAAATTTGTAAATCCAAACACACACTAATTTTTAATTATCTTGTCTAATGCGAAGTAACATATCACACTTTTTTATCAATTTAACACTTCACCTTTAATGCTTTTTAACCAGCACTACCACAGGCATAATATTACCGGAGCACGGAAAATATGTTCGAGAATACTCATGAAACACAAACACCAAGATTTAATGGGCTGTAGCTTTATTTCTTTTAACTTGTGTTTGGATGGACACTCTTACCATCGCATAGGTGCACCTCCCAGCAGGCAATCAAGCACAATAATAATGGTCGCTAGCTAACCAGGTTGTCGTTTTCTCTCATCGTCGTTGCCAGATCACTTCTGCCTTAACAATTGTTGTGTACTTGATGATTCTTGATTCAATTTGCCTATGTTTTCACTACCTTATTCTTGTCACAGTCCCCAGTTTCTCGACTTTTCTGCTTGCGCTAATTTAGACAACAACTCCATTGATATTAATGTGTTAAATATATTCTTATCTGACCTTAACAAAATTATTACAAAAAAAAAACTATTCGATTTATCTTTTGGTTATTGTATACTACCTTTCGAAATGATCAAACTGTTCTACAAGGGGTAGAGCCGTGGCTCAGGCACGCTGGTGTCTCAAGCACCATTCTACAGAGAGGAAGAGGGGAAAATCTGTCCTGTTTAGAGCTATGGGCATGTTAGCCTGCTAAGAACGATCATTCTTCGCGTATAATGCGTTAGAGCATTTTTCCTGTAACAAAATTCTGAAATTACGGGACTAAATGTATCCAAGTCCCATACTGTCAAGAATCGCAACTGTTAATGTTTTTATTTCATTAAATTCATGTTATTGTTAGAACTTGAGTTTGAAATTCATTTCAACCCTTCATCACAACCCGGGGTTTCTGTAGCGGTTTCGGCCAGTACACCACACAGCTCTTGGGGTACTCCATTCCACCGTTCCGAAAATTTCTGTTTTCGGTCATAGATCCAGGAAGTAAAAATTATGTTGTTGATAGTATTTCGGTATCGCCTGGAGCTATAGTTTGGTGGGCAGATATAAATCTTTCATCATTAATTCCGATAGAGTTATGTCTCAGAGGGAGAATGTAGTTCATTATTTTTTAAAGTTCTAGAAAAAATATTATTTCTGTATAAAGTCTAATCTGAGTATACAATGGTTTGTAATATTTGCTTCCTATGCCGTGTGATGGTAGACGGCACTTCTAACCATGCTTTAAATGTTTAATTTTCAATTGATGTCGATTTTTTCCCCGGGCATAGTCTGAAGGGTAACGCAGGGCGGCGTCCAGATGAGTTTACCTTCCAGTTGTTCAGCCAGATCTTTTTGAATAACAGTAACATTGGCTTCTGTATCGATGGTCAAGTTGCAAAGAACTCTGTTGTTATGTCCCATGATGAACTGTCCAGTACTGCCGCCATTCATTGCAGAAATTTGAAGCGCATTGAAATGGGACTTCTCAATATCTGATAACCTCCGCTGCGGGAGATATCCACTGAATAATTTTCTTCCTTCTTGGCTAGGAGCGACCTTAACTTCCGTGCCCATGAGCGCTCTGCAGCTCCTTCGAACGTTGTCTTCAGTACCACAGTTCTAGCACTTAAGAGTCGGTTTCTTGTCACTCCTATTTCGTCCTTGAGATACTTTCTGAGCTGCTTCGAATTTCATGACGTACACTAAAGCGCTTTTTAAATCGTTTGTTAGAAGAATCATACAGTGAAATAGCGAGAGGAATCACACAAATGAACATCATTTTCTTCGGTTTTCTTTTAGTCAGAAAAGAGTTTTATTTCAGACTTCATTGAGTTATGATATAGCATTGCTATGTGATACAATACTGACTTTTATAAATTTTAAGATTTAATTCGTAAATTGATATAAAGGAAACCAAACAATTATCTTAATTATTTAAATGCAAATATAGTTTGGATGTTATGACAGTCTAAGAAAGGTCTTTCCAAATTTTTTGATTCGTTAAGTTACACTACGGTGTGAAATATCATTTATCACACTTGAAACTTGAGAAGCATTGTCTTTGAACAAAACTTGAAACTGAATATGTCACTGAACCTTTTCATTTTCCATTATCTTTAATTTAACTTCAAACATCCAGTTTCCGGACGTTGTCATTCAAAATAATATATAGCTTTTAATTTTTCATTTAAAAGTTATAACCGCTTTTAAACTGTTGAGTTTGCTAAGTTAAAGCCATTTAGATTTTAAATTTATTTTCAATAAACTGTCTGATTGGTGTAAACTCCATTTAAATTACAGCAAATGATAATCAAATGAAAGAGAAATACGCCAATGAAAAATTTAAAATAAGGTAAAAATGCAACTTTATTTTGGCCTAGATCTTGAGTAAAATTCTATCAGTTTCGAGGGCGATCAGACAGATTCTTGTTCTTCAGTAAAATAACATTTACTTTATTCCTGAAGAAGAGGGACCTATGGCTGATTGCTTCATAGGCAATCAGCCTATGAAAATTGAAGAAGAATATTATTCAAAATCTATGCCAAAATAAGGCTTCTTTTTTTAGCCCAAAACAGACATTAATCCCGAATTAAATACATAATTAGTCTCCAAATGGGATTCTGCGTAGAATCAGTATAAAGGGCGTGTCACTTTTCAAATAGTTTCTGCAAATATGTTGCCCTGAATGAAGAATCTGCATGAATGTATGCATGTTTCTCTCATTCTGAAAAACAACGGTACCTAGAGCCAGCAAATTTTGAATAATGTATTTCGACCCCCTAACGTGAGCACCTTTTGAATTTGTTTTATTATCTATTTCATATTTTGTAAAACTTGAACGAATTTTTGATTAATAAACTCAACGATTTCAAAGCGAAAAGTGGCTACTGAATAAAACATTTTTATCTCTAGCCCGCGAGACTGTCTATCGGAAATTCTAAAGGCATGCTGTTTTTAAATATTTGTGATTTTGCTGTTGAATGGAATTTTATATGGCGTAACCGCCAAGAACACTATATTTAATACATTAAGTAAGCACGCCAACAATGTATGCCAACATTTAACCCTGAATCGAGAATTCTAAACGTCTACGACTGTGCTGGTTTAAAAATTTTTGTAATTTGACTGTTGTACTGTATATGGTAAAGTGCGATGGAAATTGATGCTTAAAGCTAAAAAGACAAAAATAAAGAAAATAAGGTTTAGTAGAATTGAGTGTAACAGCAGACTGGTAGGCTGTGAGAGTGAAAAAAAAAGAACCTTAAAAAACTCTTTTGGGCTTGCATTAAAATGTAAAACCCTTCAAACTTTCTTCTTTTTTCCCTCCAAATTTTAAAATCATGATTATTTTTAACACTATTTCAACTGATGAAAGATGTTTTTGCCACATATAAAGTAGTTTCAAGTAAAATGAAACGCTTTTTAAATATAATACGAAATCCTGTAAAATAGTTTTTTTAATAAAAAGTAATATCGTTTAACAGCGTCACCTTTGTCTTGGTAGAGACGATGTTTATCGTATGTATGGCAACACTTTGTCTGACCTTAGGTTTTTTTTTTTTTTATTTAATTTCATTTTACATTGTCTGCTATTTTTTCCAGTATTTTGTTCCCTTGTAATTTTATTTTGTAAAGGGAAAAAAATTAGAAGAAATATAAAATTTTAGCACCTAGTTATGATTTTTTGAAAATAATTTAATTTTCTTGAAAAATCTGAAAGTTTAGGAGAAATATTTCACTATAAACATCTTAGGCTTTATTAAGCCTCATGGAAAATAATTTGTTCCATTCCGATTCAAAAATATATTATTCGGAAGTTTTTATGCACTATAATAACATTGTTGTTTATAGAGGGCGAGAATCTTTATTTAATTTTTAAATTAGTCTCTTTCCGCTCTTTTGTGAAATTTATTGCCCAGTTTGCATTTATCATAACTAACTAATTAATAATGAAAAATTATACAGTGTGTGTTTGCCTTGAGAAGGATTATCTTTTGCTTAGGATATTGAAAAATATCTTCAATCAGGCCAGGTTGCTGGAAATCGACCTAAAAGAAAGTCTCAGAATTCGACAGTTTGATAAACTCAGGTGTCATTTTTCTTTTATTTATTTATTTGAATATGGCCATGTTGATAAATTTATGTGCCGTTTTGAAAGTCATCATGAGGAGAGCATAAAACCTTATATATGAAACTGTTAGCAAGGTTTGTAACATGAACTGTTTGTTTATACACATTATATTATTATTTCAAAAACAGACTGTTTTCAAATTCCCATATTCCTGTATTTTCCAAATATAATATTTAAAACTTTTGAAATGATTTAGAATGCCATACTTCAAATGAGTGTTTCATATACCTTGACTGTGATATCAATATCATACTTTATTTTTTTCTAGAATAGGCATTATGAATTAGCTGTATGTGATATTTTGTAAACATTTAAATTTCCATCTTGTGGCTATATTGCAATACTGTAGAGCTTTACATATATTACAATACTGTAGTGCTTAAATTTAATAATTACCAATACATTACATTTTCATAAATTGTCTAGTTACAGTTTATTTTAATTTGTTTGATTTTTCATTGATATAGAATTTTCAAGAACTAGGTGCCTCTGTAGAATGGGTTGATGCAACTCAAATGATAGAAGAAATGAGAGTAGATGTCCAAAATGTTCTTTCCTGGAAACAAGAAGCTGTTAAAGTAAATATGTAACATAATTTGTAATCAGTTGCTTCTTTGATATAATATCTAAAAGATACTGCAGTTTTTTGTGCTTCATTGTATCCATTAATTAGACCAGCAGCTTTAAATTGATCACTTTCTAAACATGATCTTACTGTTAGAAGGCACTTAGAACTTATTGCAGTTTTTAAGGCTAATCTTTGGAATATGGTAACAGGTAGTTTGGCGACATTTTGGTAAGGCGATAAAGGTTACTAGCTAAAGTAAAATAGTGTTAATCAACATATTACAATGAGGGAATCCTTTATATTTTTTAATAACAATTGCCTGCAGCATCAAATATAATTTCATACAATAATTTTAATATACTTTTTAATGTTAAACAAATGTCTCTTCTTTTGTCAATAAATTTTTGTTTTCTTCATTTCAGATAATGAGTTACTAAAATAAGTATAGTACAAGTGGGTTTTATAATATTTACATTTTACTTAAATGTAAATATTAAAATGTAAATATTATAAAACCCACTTGTACTGTAGTTTTTAGCAATACAGCAACTGTTTTAAAGTCACGAGTTATTAAATTATGAACTGCATAAGTAGCATTTTGATAGGTGAGTTAAAATATTTTTTGCAGTGCCTGATTTGTACCATGAAAGTGAAGTGGAAAAAAATATTCCATTTATTTCAAGTTTAATTTCCTATTTTTTGTATCTGTAAATACATTTATAATATTTTCTTCATCAAGAAATTTAATAATTTCATTTCAATACATAATGTATATTTCTGTGACTTGCTGATTATCCACACCCTGCCTCCATGAATGGTCATTTTGGCTCATAGATACTGTTCTGTTCATAATTAATAACAAGAGACAAATAGTTTATCAGTAAAACGAAAGTCTATGGCCAATCTATGCATTTTTTATCATTAATAGAAACCGAGCTATAAAATCATAGTTAAATGTAAAAGTATGTAAATTGTCATGTATAGACTGTGATATGTGCTTGTGTGAGTTTTCTATTGTCATGTGTATATGCAAAAACATGCCATTTCTACCATTGTTGCAACTTGGCATGCTGATGGATTTAAAAAAAAAAAAAAGTCTTTTTTGCTCCTAGATAAGTATTGCCTTTGACTGTGAAAATGTTCATTTTGCACTTTCTGCAGTAGTAAAAACAGTCATAAGCAGCATTATTAAGCTGCACATTTTTAACACGATACATTCATACTTTTTAATACCACTTAAATCTAACAAATGACCAGCTGTATAGCATGTAGTAATTTCATACTTAAATTATGTATAATGTGTAACTGGAATGAATATATTGTCATAAGCACATTTATATTAACTGATATCTGCTATTTCCATAACACTTTATATGCTAGTATGTGTATATCAGGGTTCGTACAGTCCTTAAGAGTCCTTAGATTTTTTGGAATAAATTTTTGGTCCTTAAAAGTCCTTAATTTTGGACAAAATCAGCATAAGGTCCTTAATTTAAATCATCTGAAATTATTGTCTGTTTTTAATACTGCCATTTTGAGTGTGAATTAGCGTTTTGGAGGAATATTTTTGGCAATTCACTGACATATATGTTTATCTTTTGAATGGGTTCATGTTTCTTTTTCTAATATAAATGATGGGATACTCAAGTTTCTAAGCAAGAAATGAAACATAAGCATTTTAAAATTCATTTTTACAGTAAAGAGCTTTTGAACAAATTTTCGCTTTGGGGATGTGAACTTTTTTATTAAACTGCTCTAAATTTGGCGACTTATCAATATTTTGGCGATTTTAAGATCAGTTTCTATACAACACTTTTAATTCTGTGATCTGAAAATTTTTCGACCATTTTTTTTTAAAAACATCGTAACATTTATAAATTTCATTAAAATAATGGTAATATATTGAAATTATATTTAAATAAACATTAAAATAAAGCATTTTGATTTTTTGCTGTCATATTATAAAGTTTCATTTGGGCAACTTATTATACAATATTTTGAATCTGAAAAATGAACAAGGTATAATGCTATAAAGCACAATTTAAGAAACAGCTCTTAGCAAAATTATTTATGTAATTAATTAAAAATGTCTTCCTTTTTAATTTTTTCATGGTAAGAGTTTTTCCCATGTCTTAGACCATTCAAAATTCTCAGAATATATATCAGTTTTCTCTGTATATCAGTTTTCTCTTCTTTTTCCCCTCCCTTTTTTTTTTTTTTTTTTTTTTCTTCCAAAATATTTCTGGCTTATTGCTGTTACAGAATTGGTAGGAATAATTTTTCTTTAGGATTTTAGACATTGCAACTTGGAAAGGAAAGTTTAGAAGGATTTGAAAGTAAGATTTATAGACTCACGATTCTAGAAGATTCGAGATCTATGTGACAAAATGAAAAATGTCTTCATGGTATCAACATGTAATGGATGCATTTTATAGAAAGTTTGTGATGAATTTCTTACTTTTTGGAGAACGTCTGGAAGAACAATGGAAACATAATATTTGAATGTTTTACTTCTAATACTAAAATCCTTTTCTTAACATATTTATCTTCCCTTTATTTTCTCTACTTTTCACTAGACACAAGCATGGAAAATATCAAAAATCTTATCACATGGGCAGGCATTAATAGTATTTAATAAAGAAAGTGAAAACTTACAATTTAAAAGATTCATCTAATATGTCTTAATGCATCATACGCAGAGCTGGACACTAGGCATTTTCCCACATGATGCAATCTCTGTGGATCTTAAATTCTGTTTCCAATCCCTGCTCTAAATTCTAAAAGTCTTGCCATTTCTAGATTTTTGTTGTTCGGTGTGTTACTAAATTCTAAAAATTCTGCCACACCAGCTCTGCATGATATTTCATATTTCTTCTGAATGTTCATATTACTAAATAAATAAAATTAGCCACTTTTTCTATATATTCTAAATGCATTTGGTGTATTTTAGAATAAAAGAAATCCTTAATTAAATTCTAAAATGAAAAGGAAGCATGTTGAAGAAAGAAACTGAATACATAAAGAAAATTATTCTTCGAAGATATGTGCAGTTATTATTATGTAAATTACCCAATTGTTTATGATTTCAGCCTTTACTATAATTTCCCATTTCTATTTCCTCATATGATAGAATTACTCAAATTAAACTAAAATTAAATTGTATAATCTTTGACCACTAGTCCACATTTTTAGTTGGAATTTGACTGTTCTTGTTTAATTATGTCACCATGAGCTGTAATTCATTTTGTTAGCATCAGAACATGCCTTTATGTTTAAGTTCTTTTTAATTAAGAGGCTTATTTAAACCTTTGTCTGATATTGTAGTTACTTTTAGACATAACGATAACTTGCTTCACATATGTCAGGGATTTGGACAGCTGAACTTTTACCAGATCAAGTAAACCCTCATAGGTACATTGTGGAGAGGTTGACAAGTTAAGAGATAAAGCATGCAGAAACTAGCGAAAGCACTGGTTTGCATATTGAGACAAATTTCTAATTGTTAGAAAAGAAGGAAATCAATATAAACTAGCCAAAATGTTTGTTAAAATGACGATTAAATATTTTGTTGAGTGTTATTGTTACAAAACATAAATGTTTCGTACTTTTAATGCTTTAATTATCCTAATATAGTTTAAGAATCAATGTCATAAATTACATGTATTTTAAACTGTGAATTATATTAGATTTTGATTTTAATAGGACTTTTTTTAACAAATATTCTTAAAAAATAAATTTAATAGTGGCCATGTAAATCCATAATGACTAAGGTTATCTAACTACCTAATTTAATTATTTATAACAAACTGCTTACCCTTAAAAAATTATCTCTACATATTAAATCAAGTTATTGCATTTCATTAATGCTCACTATGGTCACAAGATAAAACACAAAAATGTAAAATGAAGTAAAACTTATTCTTTGCATCTAGTGAGACTTAAAATAATACAAAACAACTTATCACCTCTGATGCTTTAATGGATTCTTGAAATCTTAAAATATATCAACTGGGTTACAACCCCTGGAACTCTACATGAAGCTATGACACTAACTGCACCAAACAGAGCCTGACTAACTTTCAACACTTGCCAACCGTGCCTACATCAGGCCTTTCAGGATTGTTCTAATCAACAGGTCTCTCTCTAGACAAGCAGCAGCAGTGACAACATTCAGTCTCTTGTTATGAATTTTGCTGATTATGATCTTACTTCTCATTTTAAACCTGTGCCGTTTAACATAAAATCTACCTGCTATTTACTAAACCTCTTGACTGACCAAGTATGTGACAAAGTGAGACATACCAATAATAATAATAATAATAATAATAAATAAATAAACATAAAGCTAATTGTTAGTAAACTTCTTGATTTTAGTAAATGTCACTTATCTTCTTTCAAATCTGTCCAACTATAATAATTGTAAAATATTTAATGGTACTTGATAAATTGCATAAAGTTGATTTTATTCTCAAACTTATTAATTTATGTTTATTAATAATCCTTACTACTTAGGGATCTATTTTATTTTTAGGATGGTATTACAAAAGTGAAATTCAGGCATAGATAATATTTTTAATTGAATTTATTCAGTTCCTGTTTGCTCATAGGTCCTTATTTTTTTTCATTAATGGTCCTTAAAAGTGCTTAATTTCCGTGTGCAGAAATGTGTACAAACCCTGTATATGTTGATGTTGGAAAAACATTTCAGCTCATAAACCTTAACCAAAGACAGTGTAATCTGGTTTGCTCTAGCTGCAGATTTATAAAGTGGACTGCAGGTTTGATCTGAACATATAGAAACCTGCCATTTTAAAACTAAGACTATGTTTACTAGTTTTTAGCAGCTGTTTAATAATTTTTGTGTCCTACCCCTTGAAATGCAAGTCTGATTGTGGCTCACGTGATTCTATAAACTTTCATGATACATTAAGGGTGCTGAATAGAAAAATATGCATTTGAGAAGCAACCTTAGAAAGTGCAATTTATTGGAATGCAGTTCTCTTCTCTGTGCTTGAGATTTAATATATGTCATGTTTGCTGTCTGATATATGAATTCAGAAGCTACTCAAAAGGTAATAATATCTTTAAGTAATATAAATCTTCACAAAATAGCATACCTAACAACCCTAAATTTGTAAATAAATAATTCCAATCATGTGTGCTTGCTTGGATCCATGCTTGGGTGACCTTTTGGCAGATGATAAATAAATAATTCTTCAGTCATAAATATGATCTACTTCCTTCAGCTCAATAGATTTTTTGTATTTTTTTTTTTTTTTTTTTGTGTGTGTGTGTGTGTGTGTATCTGCATTAATTATCATTATACTTTTGTTTGTAATTTATAATTTTATGAGAATTAACATATTAACAAGTCTTTAGCAATATATATAATATTGAATAGGGCTTGCTCTACGTGCATAGGGGATACAGGCAGCTGCATATGGGGCCAGTTTTCAGAGGGTGCGAGCTAGGTTATTGTTCCATGTGATAACTAAGTAATAATATTTTTTTTTTAAAATTGTTTAACTTACACAGGGCAGCAACTGTACTTATCGCTCCGTTGTTAAATATGTTGAAAACGGGTTTAATGTTTAAGAAAGCTGATAGTTTCTGTTTTTTCTAGCATCGTGAATTTCAATCACATATAGTTGTGATAGTTGAAAAGTCAAGTAAGAAAAAGCAAATAACATTTATTGTTCATTGGTACATAAATATTGTTCTATTATGAAGACATATAATAGTATAAGCAATATCTGCTATTAATTACAGTATTTATAAAAATTACTAGTTACATCATAAATTACATGAATTAGACATATTATGAGTTACAACAATTAGTTACTAAAAGATAACTATATAAATTATTAAAAGGGAATATGTTGTTTTAAAATTGCTCATTTTTTAATTAGAAAGAAAAATAAAACTTTTGTAGCTTTGAATGGCAATAGTTCTGAAAACAGTCAGTTTTCTGTTTGGTGTTGATAATAAATTAAATGTTTTGTACAGCCTATGATGTTGCCAAAAAGTATTTATGTGGTAAGCACTGTGGTAACCCAGTTAAGCACATAACGTTTGTTTCTTTTGTCTGATGCACAGTATCAATATTGTGCAAATGTTAAATTTATGCAATTCTCTGAGGTTTTTTTAACGCAAAATCAGATCAGTGTACATGAGAAGAATAACAGCACATTTTATGGAAAGATTTCTCGAAAAAGGTAAGAGTTTTATTGCTGATGTTTCTTTTTTCTTTTATTGGTTTATTCCACTTTTATGGAATTTTTTGTGCGCAGTCATTTTAAAAATGATTCTTGCCCTTGGCAAAAAATTACTTGCCACTGAGTTCCCAAATGTTCATCAAAGACACCTATTGAATGCACAATTCTTGGTCAAGGTGTGGATAGTTAGAAGGTACCAAATTTACATTTGCCATAATAATCCTAACTTTTTTAATAATGAAATTATGATAATATCTTGATATGGATTATAATTTTTAAAATTATATATTAGTTTAATCAGTTTTTATTTATTTAGTATAATCAGTTTTTATTTATTTAAACAGCTGCAGCAAAGCATGCAATGGTGATTTATAATTGTTCAAACATAGTATCGGGATAAATGGATGATAGTCTCATGATACACTTTCACACAGATAAATACTGAATGCATATTCTTAGCCTACTGTTTAAGTGGAGGAGAAGCAAAAAAGTTACTTTTATTTACGTTTATTGCTTTCATTATTTTATTACTTTTATTTATTTAGTTATTTAAAAGTATTTATAGTATTTAAAGGCTCATCACTAGAAAAAAAAATATTAATAAAAATATCACAAATGGATATATATCTTGGGTGAATGGATATATATTTTTTGATGATTATGAATCTCTTTAGTGCAGAAAAAATACTGTGTAATAGTTGATTCATTTTAACAGTACTTATCTGTGTGAAAGTGTATAATGAGACCATCATCCATTTATCTCAATACCGTGCTTGAAAAATTGTGAATTGCGATTGCATGCTTTGCTGCTGCTATTTAAATATATGAAGATTATGATTTATTAGACATGACCTGGTTTTGAAGTAACGTGTAAAATTCCAGAGAACATCTCATTGTCAGTTATTTTTGATGGAGACGTGTCGGATCTAAGACATAAAATAAGAGAATATTAAATTTTTTTAAAAATGAAAAATCCAACAAAATGCCATTGCTAATGTCAGTGCTGAAATATTCCAAACTGTGCACCCTGAAAGTGAATGCTAGTTAGTTGTTTCTTAAAGAATTGCAAAAAGAGTAGGTTTGGTTTGTTAGATTACGGCAAAGCACTCGAGGGCTATCTGCCTTAAGGAAGGGATGCCTTCGAGGAGGACTTTTTAAGAGAAACTGGCTCGTATACACGTTACACATGGGGAAAACCACGAAAAACACCCATGCAGCCAGCCTGTTCACGGGATTCGAACCTCTGACCGAACTACCAGTGTTCAGCAATGTTACCGCTCGGCCGCTGGTGGGCCCAAAAAGAGTAGGAAATTTTTTTTTTTTTTATTCTTTCCTCTGTGGATAATGTTTTCATTATGAGTATATTACATGTATTTTTCACACTCATGTTAGTATTTTTTTAACATATTTCTAATATTTTAAAATTTGAAACAGCAAGTAATATGCATCTGTAAAAATTATTTTTTTAGAAAATAGCTGAAGTAGCCGAGCATGCTGCATTTACTCACCAACATGATAAAAATATCAAGGTATTTTTTTTATTATATTCTCAATCTTTGTAAATAAATGCTTAAACAAATGACATGCTGTGACAAAGTTTTTCTAATCAATATTTTTGTTCCAGTATGAGTATTATAATGCTAGACTTGATGATGAAAAGGAAGCTGATGTTAGCAATAATGAAGTCATTAGGAAACCAAAGCATAAAAAAAGTATTCGAGATCTGGATATGAAGCCACATAGAAAATTTGCCAATGCACCAGTAAATTTTAAACATAGTTCAGTTCATGTCCCCACAAATGTTTATGATCAAGGTATTCATTATTCATTTTAATTATTAGTAATATTTTAGTTTCTGATTTTGATGACTCATTGTTATAGTTATGATGGAACACTGTGTTTTACTTTAAAAAACTGCTATAGACATTTTAATATATTTCCATATTTAAAAATAATCATAAGGTTTTCTCAGTTAAGTCATCAAGATCATGTCTTTCTAGGCTAGATTTTCTATGTGCTTTTTAGTATATTGATATTTTGAATGATAATTCTATTCTTTATTCTTAGTTTCTTAATAAAAATAGCTTTTTTTTTTAACTTCAGTTAAGTTTTTAAATGTTCTCAGTATATCTTTTTCTTTGCTTTCTGAATGGGCAGTAATACTGATACTGCATTCTTAAAATGAACAAGGTAAGAGTCTAGAAAGAAAAATATTGTGTAATAAAGTTATATACAACAGCAAGTAACAGTTTCAGAAATTATATAATTGTGTTTCACCCATTTCTTCAATATTTCTGTGGCTACGATACTAATTTTCCAATATAGTTGTTTAGCAAATATTAATATTAAACATACATTTCAGGGGAAGCTTTATTATGATACTTAAAAATTCAGTTTGTAGTTGAAGAGGCAAAAGATTGTGATCATCTAGATTGAAATGGAGGAATTGTAAATAAATGATTTTATACTACTATAAAATGAAAGGAAATACAAACAAATGGTTCATATTCAATTCATGAAGTAGTGTAAGTCTATATTTAAGGTTCATATATTAGTTTGTTTTTTGTCCTTCTGATAAGAAAAACACTTATTCGAAACAAGTTTGACTTGAACTTGAAATTACAATGACTGCATTCAGAGCATTTTCAAAGTGGCTGACTTACAGGGTAAGCCAACCCCATAATTCAGCTACTTTGAAAATGCTCTAAATGTAGACTCCCCTTATGGGGATTTGCTGTCATTTAACTTGTCAGTAATATAAAGTTGATGATAAGAATAAAGTTTTGTATCATATATCATCTTGAACCCTGCTGAAGATACAGCTACATAGTAACACGCTGCAAGTACTTAACTCTTTTTTGCTCAGTGTTCCACTGTATGGAACACCCAACTTGAATCGCTTCTGAAACCGTTAAATTCATCCATAAATGAATAAAAATACCTTTATAATATACTTCGAACTTCTCTTTTTAAATAGTCGATGGCAGCATATCGCAACGAGACCAAGAATTTTCATTTATGAAATGTTATTAAAATCCACTTATTTTCTAGTAATTTTCTATATTTTTTTGGTGATACAAAAAATATCTGTTTGAAAAACAATTTCTTTGTAATTTTGATGGCTGTACTTTATGTTATTTGTTATATATATTTTTACATTTTTCATACAAAAAGCATGCACAGAATCATTGAATAAAACGGGGTATTCCATTAGCGGGAACACTGCGCCTTTAGCGATCTCATGCTATTATGCATCACAACATCTGTCTTAGGAGAAAACATCTGTTGCATATGTTTCTTTTTCTATTTGCATTGTTTTGGGGGAATGAATTCAAACAAAGCAGTCTTGAGGATTGAGGTGTGGTTCGTGCTATGAAAGGCCTAATATGGTCATCTTGAAATTTTTGTGAGCAATTTTCAGGCTGGATTTTTATCAGTAGCTCGAGTCATCTTTACTTACAGCTGCGCGAATTTTTTGCTGTCGCTTTTTAGTCTCATTTCTGTTTATTTTCAATAATTGTGTAGATATTTTTTGTGTATGTATATCTTATAACTTATTTTTCTTTACTGTTAGTATTAATTGTAGTTAATTTTTTATTATTAATTCTCCATAAATGGCCTGGAGAGGTCTAACTCTTTCCGAAGCGCTAGAAGTGTGAGATATATGCTCCTGAACCACTTGTGTAATCCTATTGTGATATGTCGAATCAAAAATTGTGCAATATGCTTTGAACAATTTCACAAAGCTAAGAAATCGAAAAATTTGTAAATATCTTTGTATATAGGACTTGTGTATATACATATATTTATCTCATTTATCCATATTTATTCAAAAATGTTGTGTATATCCAGAAAACCATGTATACTGCCATAATACAGTGTTTTTTCATTACTATAAAAATGCTCCTACTCATTTCCGTGCTTCACTGCAATGCTCGCTTAGTCGCACTTTTAAAATTTCTGGCGGTGCAGTATTCCACCTCATGGAACACCCACAGAATTAAAAGGGTAAGTGCAATTTATGCAAAATTTTACCTGTGTACTCCTTTAGGCCTAGATAGACTGCATACAACTTTTTTTGTTGAAAGTCCGACTTTAACCCCTTCCCCTGTTTTGCCCGTACGCCGTACGTGCACAGCTTTCGGGCTTGTACGGGCAATCTGATTTCTATTTCACTTGCACTGTTTCGGCCATATTTTTTCCAATTTTAGTAACAAATTATTCGTATAGATGGCGATAGTTGTCCAGTAAATGATAGTTTGCAGTTTATTGTCTGATTGGTTCAAAAGCGCGGGTTTTTTCGCATGTTTTGTATCAGAAGACAAATTGTTATCTATCAGTGTATAGCTTTCTGGCTATATTTTACTAACCGCCTGATAATTGTATTGATGTAAGAGTTGAATAATATAATTTTACTTTTAAATAATGGATAATTCAGAGCGTATGGAGCTAATTTCTTGTGATTCGAACTGTGACTCGGAATCAGAAACTGAATTATCTGTAAATGATAGTAGCGAAAGTTTACTAGGTGATCTGGATAGTAGTGACTCTGATAGTAGTACAGATGGAATCAGTCAAGCAAGACAATTTTTTGAAATTAGTTGTGATAATCCTTCGGATCGCCTCCTAGATTTGCTTTCACTGGAATTCCAAAAATTAACTTGGATATCGATGAGACTAAAGGTAAACTTCAGTTCTATGATGCTTTCATAGATGATTATTTGCTTGACCTGATTGTTTTTGAAACAAGATATGCTGAGCAATGCATAAAAAACAGTACACTTCGTAGGCATTCCAGGAGCAAAAAATGGACACCAACATTGAAAGATGAATTACATGTATTTTTTGCTTTGAATATTCTGCAAGGTATTGTAAAAAAGCCAGTTGTTGAGCAGTATTGGAGCAAGAGGCATTCAACATTCACACCATTTTTTCCAAAAGTGATGTCATGTCACCGCTTTCAGTTAATTTACAGTTATTTGCATTTTTCAGATGTCAATTTTGACATAAATTCTCATAAGTGTCCAAAATTATCAAAAATATGGCCCGTGCTAAAGCATTTAAAAACTCGTTTCGAAGAAATGATCATCCCTGAACGTGATGTTACCATAGACGAGAGTTTTATGTTGTTCAAAGGAAGGGTAAGTTGGAAACAGTATATTCCTCTGAAGCAATCACGCTTCGGAATAAAATTGTACATGCTTTGTGAGTCGAAGTCTGGATATGTATGGTCTATGATAATATACACCGTAAAAAAAACTGTGTTTGATGAAAATTACAAAGATTTGAGCAAATCTTCGCAGGTAGTTATTACACTTATGCAACCACTTTTACATAAAGGATACTGTCTGACAACTGACAACTTTTATTCATCTCCTGAAATAGGAAATATCCTCATTAGTTACTGTACAGATATGTACGGAACATTAAAACTTCAAAGAAAGGAAGTTCCTAAAGCACTGTTGACAAAAAAACTTCAAAAAGGGCAAATGCTTGCTTACGAGAGGGGAAAAGTGTGCATTATAAAATGGATGGACAAAAAAGCCGTGTCTCTCATATCTACAATGCATAATCCGGAAATGGTTCAAGTATCCACTTCGACGAATGAAATTAAACGAAAACCTAAAGTAGTTATGGAGTATAATAACACAATGGGTGGTGTAGATCAAATGGACCAGAACCTAAGTAATTATCCTGTAATAAAGAAACGAGGAAAGAAATACTACAAAATATTTTTTCATCTTTTAGACATCTGCTTTGGAACGCTTATGTTTTGTATAAAAAGCACGGCGGTAAAGATACGAATTTACAGTTTCGATTGGAAATTATCGATCGACTTATTGAAAGGCATGCTGCAGTAGAAGAAAGAAAACGCCATCCTGGATATTTACCAACTCCACTAAGACTAACAGAAAGACATTTTTTAGAAGTTATTCCACCTACAGAGAAAAAACTAATACCCGCAAGACAGCGTCATGTGTGTTCATTGAAAAAAAATGACAACGGCAAAAGAATTAGAAAAGAGACAAGGTATTTTTGCCCAGACTGTGATGTTGGACTGTGCCTGTTGCCTTGCTTTAAGATATATCACACTAAATCAGATCTTTAAAAAAAGAAGGGTAAGCATGTTTTGTATCAAAACATAATAGTAAATGCAATTGAATTAAAATCGAAAATATCTGTTAAGTAATTGTACTATTTTAATTGTAAATGTAACTTCCCTGTTTTGCATTCATGTAGGGAAAAAAACAACTTGCAGGGAAAATTGATTATTTTCATTAAAGAAAAAAAGTTGTAATAAATGCTTAAAAATATTAGAAATGTTAATTTTAATAACATATCTTTACTTAAAAATGTAAAATGAACAAAAAAATGCAATAAAAATTTGTGACATTTTTTTGACCGAATTCTGGAAAAAAATGAAACTGTCAAAGGGTTAAAGTATAGTGCACCACAAAGGCTTAAGCTGATATCTGTTTAGCCTAGAAAATCCCCAAAATGATTTTTGCTGATATCAAACTAGAGCTTGAAGGATTGTAAGAAAACTGTTCAACCTAATAAATCCCATTTTCTTGTGTAGATAGCGAATTCTGTAAACCTTTTTTATCTGGAGACTATCCACCTAGACTCCGAGAAACTGAAAGAAGGCTACCTAGTCTGTTGAATCTCATTTTTCATTTCATTATATAATTTTCTGGATCATTGTATCACATATACAGAGGGTGTGTACACACTTTTAGAAAGATTTTGGAGCCGTTTAACCCCTTAACTGCCGCAGGCGTATATATACGCCTTGCTCAGCCGATGCGTTAAC